GTCCATAATGATTGATAAGAATAAAATATTCATAAAAATCTAAGTCAACTTTACTTATGACAAGTAACAATGTCATGTCATAAAGGAGTGTTATGTAACTAAAACTTGTGTTTTCTATTTTATAATGCCATAGATTAAACATTTGATATCAAAATTTAGTAAAATTGATTTCACTACATATGATAATGTACTCCCTCATGTATAGATTTCTGTTCTTGCGACATCTTAATATAATGTTATTAAGTAAATTCACAAATCTTCAAACTAATGTCAGTCAAATACTTCTTGTTTTTAAGACAAGTTTTTCAAGATTTTTCATTGCTGGCTCTAGATTATTGATAACCTGGTCATTTATCAGATGTTTAATTACAGTTTATTTTTTATTCTTATGTTATTATGTTATTTTCCAAGAAAAAATATTTTCATTGAGAATTTTTTTTTTAAATGTCATGATTAATTTGTGATCTTGCATTGATTATATCGTCATGACTTATTCACAAAGCTATGAATCGTTTGAATAGCCCACAAAGTCATTGATAACAAACAAGTTGTTAATCAATCTTTTCTTTACAGAGTTTTACAAAAGTTTTCATTTTCAAAGTGGATGATCTTGCTAGCTACTTGTATTTGATTCCAGATTGTAAACAACTAAAAGAAATTTTTTGTTTCAATTTTTGTAAAAGAAATATCTTGCTTCTTGATTATTCACTTTTGCTCAATGTATTGTAATCTTTCCAACGGACATAAAACAACATAAACAGATTTTTTGTTTCTAATACCAAATTTTTTATTTTTCTTACTTTTTCAAGTATGAATCTGGAGCCAATAGATTGCAATAGAATGTAATCCATCATAGTGTCAAATTTTTGAATACATTTGCATGTCTCATATTATCCATCACATCTTTATTTATACATTTTTTAATCATTTTTTTTCTTCATAAAGATGACATATATATCAGTTTTTGATTGTTTATTAGTTTATTATCATAATGCAATAAATTTCAAGTTTGATAGGCAATAAATTTGACGTCTTTAAAATTTGTTGTCACTTTATTCACATAATATTTTCATCAATTGCAATGTTTTGTTGTTGTAAATCACTGGCTAAAATATGATGCAATTGAAGCTTCCAAATTCTTCATTTTCATATTTTTCACAATAGTTTAATGAGTTTTGAAAGAGAAGATGTTTGCATCAAAATTGATGTCAATTTCCAAGATTTATGAGACATACTGAAAACAATCATAAGAGATATCACACTAAAATCAACACATCATAGTTTCTTTTATTCAAAAGTGTATTCATTCAAATTCATGTCTAGGTAGATATTTTATACAAGTATTTTTTTATTGTCAATAGGAAATTTTTTGGATTCAATTTTTGATGATTTTTTAGTACACTTGTACTCCATGTTTACAAAACTCCTTGCTTGAAATCTTCAAGTTGTTCATTGTATTGTATTTAATCTCCATGAAAACTCTTATGTTTAACAAATTTCAAAAATATATGAAATAGCTCTAGTGTGAATCTACAATATCTAGATTTCAGTATCAAATCCAAACTCCATCATTTCATTCAATGGATATTTCATGCCAAACGTTTCATAAATACTAGATATTTGAACCTTCTTCAAAATCCAATCTTTGCAATTGGTTTTTCTTTCATCATTTCAAATTTGTAGACTCCTTATATATAGTAGATTTATCATGCAAACATTTCATTATCTTTTATATCAAAGATATTGATTTCTTATGCAAGTGAAAATAGCTCTTAGTATCATTGTAAATTTTTTAATTGTGGCAATTTTCCAAAATATTCAAAATCTTCATATTTGAATAAATTATCTTCTTCAAGGATTTTTAATTAATCTCATTACTTGTAGAATTTTTTAAAAAAACTATATTAATTGCTTTTCATCTTGGTTTCTTGTGTGTGTATAGGCTTATTAATGATCTAACACTTTTTTTTCCATCTTTAGCACTATGATATATGGTTGTTATAGTAAATAAAATAAAGTTTTGATACAAGTGTTGATCTTGATCAATCGGCCATATTCTCGTTTTGTAGAGCTGTTTTGACATTATATTGATATCTGATCCATATCAATCAATGCCAAAACCGATTCTTTAATGTTCCATAATTTCACATCAATTGATATTGACGCTATTGTCAAATGTTATGAAATTTAATGCTTTGACAATGTCAAACTTTTTTTTGGGTATTAATCTTCTAATACTCCAAAAACTCCTCAAATGCATTTTCTTACTCTGACACGCACATAGTTGAGTTAAGTGTTTGAAAAATAGTGTTTTCATTAATTTATTTTGCTTTTTATAATATCGACTATAACGTTATGAAATTCTTATTTTTGCATATCTAATATTTACTTCGAGGTAAATTACATCTTGTCATTATAAAAACCTTTCCTACCAGCTTTTTTTTTAAGATTTGATACACCTCTATATTGGAGTTTAACCTCTGCTGTAACTCCTTTAGCTATTTACATATAATTTTACGGACCAACTACCTCCATTACCTGATCTTATGAAAGAAGTGCATCTAGTATAATGAGCACTCTAGCCATTCTTGTATTTGAAGATTTTCACCAATATTCTTCTCTCTTGTTTACACAGATGTTTGATAGTGCATGTAGTCGATATATGTATGAATCGACATGATTTGTGTTGAATCTTTCCATCCAATAGTAGCACAAATATAGGTATTTTGTATTCAAATCTATACTCAATTTCTCAAACTTGTAACGAATATGAAAGCTTTCAATGATGTTACCGTCGCATGTGCACTATCACAATCATCACAATGTTCCTCATTTTTATATTTCTAAAGTTAGTCTGAATGATAAGTTTTCAATCATTCTATCTTACCTTTCTTCCAAAATATACTTTCACTATACAAAGTTTGTACAAAATCTTAATAATGCTCTTGTGTATAATCAACACTATCACACCATATGCATTGTTGAACATAAACTTGTTCGTTGAAATATTTTAAAGCTTTTTTGTTGAAAAATCTTTCAACTCCAACCTAGCAAATTTGATCTTTTGCTTCTTCATATCTTTCACAATCTCATCTAGAGATGAGAAATCAAAATTGAACTTAAAATTGGAGATTGGTTGCTTGCCGCCCTAGTAACTGGTGGTCTTTGGACCATAGAGTTCTTCTTATCACAAATTTATCACTTCTACTTTCTTGCTTTCCTAACAATTCAGTTATGATTTGGACATCGTCCAACTCTTTTTACATCCTTTTTCTTCTTCTTTCTTGTACTCAAGAAGTACATTTTTTTTTCTATCAAATTAACTGAACGTATAAAGGATTCAATTTTATGGAGCTCTAGAATGATGTTTTTCAATCTAGACAACTCTAAAAACGTTCTCTCAAATTCTCAAAGAAGCTAAGTTGCTTGAATATTTTATTCAAGTTTTCAGTCTACTTAATGATTGATTTCTTGGTGAATCTATCATAGTTTTCCAAGACCTATCATCCCTCAAAGCATGTGAAAATGTCTCCCAATCGTCAGAAATCTAATTATGTAGTTCCTAACCTCCAATAGCCCATCAAGATTTAATGGCTCTATCATCTTCTTCTCTAACACACTGTTGAGCATCAATTTTTCAACGTAATAAATCAAATACTTTGAGATGTTTCTTTCATGAAACTGTTAAGCATCAATTTTTCAACGTAATAAATCAAATACTTTGAGATGTTTCTTTCATGAAACTGTTACATCTTTTTCACCAAAGCTTGCAACTTAGCTTGTTGCTAGAATTTTTTCAATAATGAGACTGTAGTTGTTGCATGAACAGGGTAAAAGCCTTAAACATTTATGTTGTTGAAGGATCAAGCTGTATATTCGGCAATTCAACTCTCTTGCTCGATACCTCTCCATTCATTGTAGCCAAATCATAACCAAGTTCAACAACCAATCTTACTTTCGATGCAAGTGATCCACTAAATAATCTAATCCATCACTTTTTAAATAGAATCTATATATATCTAAGTTCTCGGAATTTTCTAAAGAAAATGGTTAATCTAACTTGCAGTCTTGAGAGAGTTGGGATATCAAGAGAGTTTCTTTTGTAAAAAGTTGGCCATCACTTAGTAGAATAGTAATATGGTTATTAAATCCGAGGCAATTTCATAGGATTTTATACTCACACGAAACCAATATGACTCAAACACAAGAAGTCAATATGTAAGAAAGCATAAGACAAGAAACAAACAGCAACTCTATATATACAGATTTTTCTCAATCCATACAAGACTAAATGTTTACATCATTAGATATAATTCAATGACTCAACCTAAATTTTCGTTGTAAATTTTATTGTATCTGATCTACAACTAAATCAGTTTTTTCATTCAAATCAGATACTAAACTCTAATCTCCAATGAAGTACAAATCACTTTTGCTCTCAATAGTTAAGATACAAACTTGAAGCACTGATCATTTAATATTTGAACCGTCCACTACTACTTTACTTTGTAAATGATTGGCAACTGCTTGTTCTCCTCTCAGAAAATTTCACTTAGTTAGAACCGCCATATCTCTCACAACAAAATTTACAACCATGAAGTATAACACTGGGGATTCTAAAGACCCTGTGTTTCAATCCTGTTATAATTTTGCAACCCTCACTTAAACCTAAACTAATATAATGATTTCATCTACTAATTATAGCTTCTTTATGTAGTCTCCAAGCAAGCCACACCATGCTTACGGGAGATGCTAATAGATAGTGCAAAGCGGCATATGAGGAGGATCTATTATCTTAAAGGTTTGACATCTTTGAACTTGGTAGGTTTTTCCTGTGATGGCATGAGTAGAATTGGGTTGGCTAGCAATAGTGTGTTTGGCTAGCACTAAGCACTTTGTACTGCACCATCACCGTTTGTTGTTAAAAAGTAATTGTGGATAAGATAGACTTCATTGATGTGAGCTCTCAATATCATAGTGTCAACGTGTTCAGAGGGCTAACTCGAAAACGAGATGGAGAACTTCAGATTAATGATCCAGATAGTAGGATTGTGGATGGAGCCAAGTTATGTAGAGTCCAAGCTCGCAGCTATAACGTCTGGTAGGTAGCATACATGGTGTTTTTGGCAGAAACGATCACGCGTGTATTATCAGTGAAGTATACATATCCAGCCAGCGTACTCCTGTTCGTGGGCAGACCCTCAGTGATTCTGTTCTTCCATCCACAGTGATACCCAGCCTCATGCCAACGTGGTGAAAGATACTCCGATCGTGGACTGAACCAAGTCCTCTTCCAGGCAATAGTGGCGATCTCCGCCACCATCTCCGGCCTCCTGTTGCTAATTCCTGGATTACCGACCACAGAGGAAACTGCTTTCAAGTGGCGTGGAATGGTGTGGATGGACGACCGAGAGTATCACGCAGCAAGCTTGAGGATGCTTCTGGTTCGTGAGTTTGCCTGCTTGCCTTGCTGCACTGTACACGGTCATGCATCATTTGCTCCCGCATACGCCGCAAGCCATTCCACTATCACACGGTTGACGGGAGCAGTGTCGTCTAGACGTTGATTCTCAGAGGTTCCCCCACAAAATATGGCAAAACTGTTTAAATTTTGTATTGTTGGGATTTACTTGTACAGGAAATTCACTGACCTTGAAGAGTTAAACGCACGCCAGACTATGGACGATGTGCGCAGCATGATCCGTGCTAACCAAGCATATTTGGTTTTGCCATTGAGCTACAGCAAGTCGGCCATCGTTGCACACTATGAGCGATCTATTGGTGAGTCACTGTTTAAAATTGTTTTCCATCTGGATTTAGTGATGCCCAGCTGCTGCCGTAACCATCGGCACGAACTCAATGCGTCTTCTTTCGAGCTGAAGTTCAGCAGCGGTGCCCTCCCTCTACTCCACTACTACGCCACTGAGGGATGGCCTGCACTTTTCCTTGTTCCCGGGGATTCATTCCTCTCAAACCCCCCTGTTCAACATCTACATCTTCGGGTCCAATTTCCAAGCCTCCTCACTCTTCTCTCTCTCTCACTGTCGTTCCTTCGTTTCTATCTTCTCTTTCTTGTATTACAAGAGACAAACTCATCTCGACTCAACTCAGCTTGCTCAGTAGCTCGTTCTGAGCGACACTCAACAGTTGAGTCGAGTGAGTTACTGAAAGGGGAGGGGACAGGCAGTGAGGGACTGAGTCTCATGTACTACAATGCTGGATGAAGTGGAGAAGATGCCTGCAGCCCTGGCTACGGAGTGAGTGAAATCAAGAGGACTAACGCTTAGATCTGAAATTATACGACGTTCGGATACACTTGTCTCGAAAGTCCGTGGATTGGTGATAAAGGATGCTACAAAGAGTTCCAGCAGAATTGGAGTGATCTGCAACCGCAGAACAGATTCTGGCAAGGCTTGTGCAGATCCAAAAATTCAGGATGCTTCCAAACATCGATGGCAAATTACGTCAACTGACAATTTAGTTCAGTAGGATAGTTTTGGATTGGTGAAATACACGACACACGGGAGAAGAGTAGAAGGAGCCAGAGCGTGAGCGTTCGAGTTCTCAAATGGCTGCTCCTTCTGGATCAGGGCCGAAATCTGTTAGAAGCGGTGGAGGTTTACCGAGCCCCAGGATGGGTCAGAAGCCCAATGTGCCTTCTCCTGTGACTGGAAATACACGAAGGACGATGAGCGGAAGATATATATCGATTTCTCGAGAAGAGCAAGATCAATCTATAGAGATGGGTGGAGATATAAGCGCTGATTTTCCATACACAGTGCATATTCCTCCAACCCCGGACAATCAGCCGATGTCCGGCTCCAACACTCCACGAGCTGGTGATCCTGCCGCAGGAAAAGGTGGTCAACAATTTGTATCCAGCACGATGTTCACCGGTGGTTACAAGGCTCAGACTCGAGGCCACGTTATGGAAAAAGTAACGGGTGATAATGCACATCATGTCAGAGGGTTGACTTGCCAAGTGGATGGTTGTGATGGAAAGACCATGAGGGATGAACGTGGTGAAGATGTTTTTCCTTGCGAATGTAAATTCAAAATCTGCCGTGATTGCTACTTCGACGCTCTGAATGCTGGAGGTAGATGCCCAGGCTGCAAAGATGAATACAAAAACGATGACGATCATCAGGATATGCATGGAGGGGAAGAATTGCAGAGCAATTTACCGGAGCGGAGGGCTCTTCCAGGGCCAACGTTCGATCATGAAGATTCAGGAAAGATGGAAAGGAGACTCTCTCTCCTGAAGACCAATAAGCCTCCTCTCCTCATGAGCCAGCAGCATCAGACTGGCGGCGATTCATTCGATCACGCTCGATGGTTGTATGAAACCAAAGGTACCTACGGTTACGGAAACGCTGTGTGGCCTAAAGATGACTCCTACATGGGTGGTGGCGATGGTGGTGGCGGTAATGGCATGGGAGGAGCACCTCCCCCTTCTTTCAACGACAAAAATCGCCGGCCTCTGACCCGCAAACTTGCTATTGCAGCTGGAGTCATAAGTCCATACCGGTATTGAGTTGATCTCATCCTTCCGCAAAGATTGGTGATAGTTTGAGCAATTTCCCTTGAATGATTACAAGGGACTGTTTGTGAGTGAAGGGTAGTCATGCTTGCATATCAGCTTACATCGATTCAGGACAAGTTCTCATGTCGTGTTTCACTTTGTGAGCAGGTTTCTAGCGTTTCTGAGGCTCGTGGTGTTGGGCTTCTTTCTGACCTGGAGAATCCAGAATCCCAACAAAGATGCACTGTGGCTTTGGGGAATGTCAGTGGTTTGCGAAATCTGGTTTGCGTTCTCTTGGATCCTTGATCAGTTGCCCAAGTTATGTCCTGTCAATCGATCGACTGATCTTAGTGTCCTCAAGGATAGGTTCGAAAAAGTTTCTCCAGAAAACCCTCGAGGCCGATCAGATCTGCCAGGAATGGATGTGTTCGTATCCACTGCAGATCCAGAAAAGGAGCCCCCTCTCGTGACTGCTAACACAATCTTATCCATTCTTGCCGCCGAGTACCCCATTGAGAAACTTGCCTGCTACCTTTCAGACGACGGAGGCGCGCTGCTGTCTTTTGAGGCGCTTGCTGAAGCAGCCAGCTTCGCCAGAGTGTGGGTGCCGTTTTGCAGGAAGCACATTATCGAGCCCCGGAACCCTGAGTCATATTTCCTCACTCGGGGCGATCCCACTAAAGGCAAAGTCCGACTAGACTTTGTGAAAGATCGTAGAAGGGTGAAGCGAGAATACGATGAGTTCAAGGTCAGGATAAATGGTCTTCCTGATTCGATCAGGAGGCGATCTGATGCCTACAATGCGCATGAGGAGATCCGAGCTAAGAGGAATCAAATTGAAACCGGGGCTGATCCCTCACAGCCACTTAACGTTCCCAAGGCTACATGGATGGCGGATGGCACCCACTGGCCAGGCACGTGGGTCATTTCTGGCAAGGAGCACAGCCGTGGTGACCATGCGGGTATCATCCAGGTCTGTTCAAATATTGGCCATTGACATTAAGGAAATTTAGCAGGATGTATATCAAAGTGAACTTGCGGTTTCAATTCTCTAGATTCTAAGGAATTGAAATAGATCTGCTGACCAGATGTATGATTTATTCAGGTAATGTTGGCACCACCTGGGAATGAACCGATAATGGGAAGTGCGGACGAGGAGAACCTGATCGACACTAGCGACATTGACGTTCGCTTGTCAATGCTAGTTTACGTATCTCGTGAGAAGAGACCTGGTTACGACCACAACAAGAAGGCCGGAGCCATGAACGCTCTGGTCCGAACCAGTGCAATTATGTCCAACGGACCCTTCATCCTCAATCTGGATTGTGATCATTACATATACAATTCACTGGCAATGAGAGAAGCCATGTGTTTCATGATGGACCGCGGTGGCGACCGAATCTGTTACGTCCAATTTCCCCAGAGATTCGAGGGCGTGGATCCTAGCGATCGATACGCAAATCGTAACACTGTATTTTTTGACGTCAACATGAGAGCCTTGGATGGTCTTCAGGGTCCAGTCTACGTAGGAACTGGATGTTGTTTCAGAAGAATAGCACTCTACGGATTTGATCCTCCCAGAGCTCCCAAGGAACACAGTTGCTGGAACTTATGTTGCGGCGGAGACAAGAAAAAAAATAGGAAGAAGAAGGGAGCCAAAACCAAAAGAGAAGTTGAGGTGGCAAATCTCAACGGGGTACACCATGAAGACGATGACGGCGAGTCTCGGGGCCTCCTACCCAAGCAATATGGGCAATCGATGGCTTTCGTGACCTCTATACCTGTAGCGGAGTTTTCTGGAAGACCTCTGGCTGACCAGGGCATAACCAATGGTAGACCTGCTGGTTCTCTGACTGGACCTCGTGAGCCTCTAGATGCCGCAACTGTAGCTGAAGCTATCAATGTGATATCGTGCTTCTACGAGGATAAGACCGAGTGGGGACAACGAGTAGGGTGGATTTACGGATCGGTGACAGAGGATGTGGTGACCGGGTTTCGGATGCATAATCGTGGTTGGAAGTCCATATACTGTGTCACAAAACGAGATGCTTTCCGAGGAACTGCGCCCATCAACCTTACAGATCGACTTCATCAGGTGCTTCGTTGGGCTACTGGATCTGTCGAGATTTTCTTCTCCAGAAACAATGCTATCTTCGCAAATTCCCACATGAAGATTCTACAACGTGTTGCTTACCTAAACGTCGGCGTTTATCCTTTCACGTCTATTTTCTTGATAGTTTACTGTTTTTTGCCTGCCCTTTCTCTCTTCTCCGGACAGTTCATTGTGCAGAGCCTCAACGTAACGTTCTTAGTATACTTGCTCACCATCTCCGTTACTCTCTGCCTGCTCGCTATTCTCGAGGTTAAGTGGTCGGGCATCACTTTGGAAGAATGGTGGAGGAATGAACAGTTTTGGGTCATCGGTGGAACTAGCGCGCATCTTGCAGCTGTGCTTCAAGGTTTACTGAAAGTTGTTGCTGGTGTGGACATTTCTTTCACACTTACATCGAAGTCCGGAGGAGATGATATCGACGATGAATTCGCAGATTTATACGTAGTAAAGTGGACGGCCCTGATGATTCCGCCCATCACCATTATGCTCGTCAACTTGATTGCTATAGCAGTGGCGGTATCGCGAACCTTGTACAGCACAATTCCACAATGGAGTAAGCTAGTTGGAGGAGTGTTCTTTAGTATTTGGGTGCTGACACATTTGTATCCCTTTGCCAAGGGTCTCATGGGAAGAAGAGGTCGCACTCCCACAATCGTGTTTGTGTGGTCTGGTCTGTTGGCTATTGTAATTTCGCTTTTGTGGGTGACTATTAGCCCTCCTGTGGACAGCCAAGGGTTGGGAGGTACAGGCTTCCAGTTCCCTTGATTATAATGTTCGAGCTAAATTAGTAGAAACTTTTAACTCTTGTACCGCCGCAAGCTTACGAGCTCAAGATCGAAAAGCTGCTGTTGGACTGAAGCCCGCTAGCACTGCTCGTCTTGAGTGGTTACCGTTATAGTACTAGCTCTTAGGTGGTGGAGAATATTGCTCATGACAAATTGTTGGCCACGATACATGGATGGTTACCAAACAACCCCTATCTTAGTCCTGTGGGGGGAGGAGTTAGGGACGAGATCCCCTCAGATCCATCCGCCGGCCGAATTGCCGAAGTTGCCGTATAGTGGGATCCTGGTGCAGATTTTACCGTGAGAACGTATGAACGCTAGGTAGAAACTACCCAAGTGCTACAGTGTGTGTAAATGTAGAAATAAAAAACATGATCTGTTCAAACAATTCTGTCGTAGCCTACTCGCTTGTGCCGAGTTTGTCAAAAGTTCTAGTCGTTCACTTCTAGCGAGAAAACGTTGATCATCTAGACCGGATGTGTACTCGCTACCCTCCGAAGTTCTACCTGCAAGTAGTGAAGCCTCTGACTCGGAGGTAGCTCAGTCGAATCAGTTCTACACTAGAGAGCAGGCCCAGAGACACGCAACTTTATCTCTTCTGATTAATTAAGCATTGCTTCAATTAAATTGAAAACTGCGATCGATCTTCAAGTACTCCTTACATAACAAATTTGGAGTGGGACTCATCCTTTAATCAGTTCCAACAGCCTAGCGGTCTCCTATCAACTGTTAGGAACAATTTTCGAACCTGTTGGACATGCATCCTTTCCTCTCTCATATATAAGTCATCAAAGGCGTAATGCAATACGCCGATTTGTTATAGGTCGAACATCAGTAGTCAACATTTTTTTTCAGGATTCAGTGGGAAGCCAGAAGGAAAGTAATCTTCATATTCTTCAGTTATGTGTATTATTCCTTTTGAAGTATTTACATTGTATAATTAATAATAAGTTTCAAGTACACAAACTTTTTCTTTTGAACATGTTATTCGCAAAGGCCATGTACCAGTTGTAAATCCCTCTCACAAACGAAACTGTCATCCCTCGATTAGTAGATAAACTATTCCATTGATTGAACATGGATAGTGAAAGCAATAATTGCTTTCGGAAATGGGACTGGGATTTACTTGCATCCGTATGACTGTTGGTGCAAAAAGGCACAACTGAACTCAATTAAGAGTATAATCAGGATAAATGACTTTAAACAAAATTTAGCGATATCTCAAAATTAAATAGGACATTTTTTTCATATCGAGGTGATATATCACAAAATGACACCTCAAGATATGTCAAAATTTGATTAAATTGATCATCTATTTATAATGATGATTAAGTACGTGAATCCTTTGTCGAAAATCTCTATATATATATATGGGTATAAATTAGAGAAGCTATCTATTTCCACTACATATATGAATCGACAAAAAAATTTCAAAATCACTTGCATTCATTTGCGTGCAAGTGGTATTTATTATGAATATGATATTTCTTTTGTAAAAAAATTTAAAAAAATATTTTGAAAATCGCATTAATTATCATGGACACATATTCTATAAAGTGAACTTCAAAATTTGAAAATTATCTATACATAAAAGTATTGAATAAGTTACAAATTGTAATGAAATATGTATTCAAGAATATCTTCAATAATATGGCAAGTTGAACTCTTATAGTAAAGCTTTACTTTTATTTCACACATGGTTCATTAAAAAATATGTGTATTATTATCAAATATTTATTCCATAAAAATTGCATGAGTCTATTTCATCTAACTGCTCAGATTTAATATACTAAATTTCAATAATAATAAAAAATTTGTAATTTTCTTGCATATTTCACTAAGTTTTAGGGGTTTACTTAATCTCATTGAATTGAAAAGCCTAAATAGCAATGACAAAGGCGTTTTGGAATTTAATGAAGATGTTGAAGGATCACATGCACATCACACATAAACAACAATATTTACCCAATAACAATCAATCTGATGATTGCCATGTACTTTTCAACCACAATAACCTAAATCTAATTAACAATGGTTTGTGCACTCTTTCAATGCATTCACTTCAAACAACTCTATGAAATGACAAGAGCAATATAGTATAATTAAAAAATTTCTAAGAATTTATAAACTATTCATGACAACTCTTTCATTATTATCGTGCACGGAATAAAGATACATGTATAAGTGAAAGTCTGAGAACCTTAAAAACACAATAGCTATATGTGTCCGTTCTTCATGTATCCACGTTACTTGCAAGATTGCAAAAAAAAAATAATTTAATTTTTTATGCAAATCTTCAGAATTTCATAACGAAACTTCAATAGAACCAAGTAATCGATCATATAAATTCTAGCTGTTTGTATGATTTGATTAAAAAAAGCTTAGAAATTTTTACAAGATTCCTCATACTGATAAACCCATATGTAAGAATAACATTGCATCTCAAATTTCACTCATAATCCTTATTCATGTCAACGTCAGTGAAAATGAACTTCATTGAACCTGTAAAAGTAGCCGAAGACAATAAAGATCCAATTGCGTCATTGATAGATGAATTCACAAAGCTCCCATGTGTCTAGTCTCCAATAACTTCACAATGGTAAACATGTCACATACAGTGCGATTATCGAGTTCAAGTTGTTCACTTACAATGTTAACGCCCAAAGAGTCATTCCTCTAGATTGTACTAGTTATAAGAGAAGCTTCCTGTACAGCCATTGCTCTTTTCTCGACTGCAGGAGATATTGATCTCTATCGCTAAATGGAAACAAATTTCCTAAATATGGTTGTAAAATTAGAATACGTTATTATGAAATGCAGTGAATGTGGATGTATGACTGGGTCTCCCATGTTCCAGGATGTAAATTACACTAAGGAGTGGAGCAGAAAGAGGTCACAATTGACAAAGGCAAGGGTCGTAGAACAGGAGACGTCATCCAGTTGATGAACTGAATAAACTCGAGAAGTCGTTCGCTCCAGTCAGGTCCCGTCCTCGAATGTATTTATTTAGACTGATCAGGCAAGAGCCCATTCAACCGGCCCCACTAGGAAACAACTGTCCCTATTACCCAGTTTGCCCTGCTTGGCTGCCAGCCACCGGCCCTCCGTGTAGGGAGGGGCCCTCCTCCCTCCGCTTACAAGGGAGCTAGGGGTGGTGGAGAACAGGGTTTCAGTCTCGAGTAAAGAAGTTGAAGAAAGGGATCTGGAACAAAATAGGCAGAAGAGAAGAAGAGTGGCTACAGCAGACTTGTGTTTTAAGAGCGAATTGGAGAGGAAGAGATCGAACACATCAGAGGAGCCAGGGATCGAAGCTAGCAGTGCAAAGATGTTTCGTTGCGCAGGCAGCAGGGTAGCTCGGCTCTTATCATCTCGAGGGTCGTCGGTGGCTCCAGCGGTCACCCGCCAAAGTGCAGGTGGTGCTTGCTCTGTAGTCCAGCAGCGATCTGTCTCTTCTCCAGGATGGCTGAACCCCAGATTTGCTCTGAATGGAACACATGGTTCAGGTTAGAAACCTTCCAACTCACAGAAAGTTTGCATGCAAGGTTGTCATCCTTACAGTCTCGCCGGTTCTTGTTTCCTAGCATGGTGTTTTCTGTAGTCGAAGCATGGTAGTGAGACTTTGGCGTGTAAATCACCCCGTTACTTTTCTCGTGAGAGTTGTAGGTTTTCAAATTTTCTGCTTATAACAAATACATCTAGATTGCTGCATCCCGCTCTTATGTATTCAATCGCGAATTTTCAGTTTCTAGAGATCCGTTCACCCGGATCCTGTGGTTCTTCTCTCCCCTTGATCCATGTGACAGCCACTTCGGCATATTCATGAAGCATCTCGGGATTTTGATGAACGCTTGGTTTTGTTGATTCTGATTCAATCTTCAAATGGCAAATTCTTAGTCTCAAATTTGGGTTGGAAATTGTGGACGATCTTTATGCTGATTCTAAGGATCTATTTAAGTCACACCTGGAAATTGGTACTTATCGCTAAGTTCTATGAGATCAACTGTAAATAACATGGTTACTCACAATAGAGATCTTGCCCACCGTACTTTCAAGCGTGTATTTTGGATTAACAATCTCCTCATCATCCTGTAAGCTTTCGCAAAATTGCAAGGATTTTGCGAAAGCTTACTAGAATAAATATCTTCTCCATTGGTCGACAGGCTGATCGTTTCCTACAGCTTTGTCTCGTGTGCACTGTTTTTTTCCTGATTCATTTCCAATAGGTTCTACGTCTTCAGATAAGCTTGCATCTTATTTCGTGCCTATCAGGTCATTGGTGGTAAGTGCACTACGGTCCTTGTGCCCATATTAGCCATATCTGTGTGCCCTACCTCAAGAGCACTTAATCTATGTAGGAATTATTGTCTAGAAAGAGGCTGAAAATTGTGATTGTGCAGGCGCATCCGGTGACTTCGGCATCGCCACGGGTATGGAGCTGGAAGAATTAGAGGCTCAACAAAAGGTCACGCCACTACCTGTCGCTATCTCTGACCTTTATATTTGTGGAATCGCACAGTCACGTTCATAAATTCTCGCACTGATATTTGGTATATCGCAGGGTCTGAAACGCTTTGACCTTGATGCTCCTCGTGGACCCTTTGGAACCAAGGTAGGGCGACCTTTTTCAAAATTATTGAATAAATATCCTGTTAGGTCCTTTGTGATCCTTGTACAGTAGGAAGCACTCCACTGTTTGTTTGATTCGTAGTTGTGTCAAGAGCATGTCAATGTGATTGTAATACTGTTTTGGACCAGCTCGATCTAGAACAACACTTTCGTTGTAATTACCTGTGGTATGATCTTCTTTATTAGGCAGCAAATGCATTCGTAAGTCTGTTGATGCTTCTTGTCAGTACTCTATGGTCTTTGAAGGCTGGAAAGTTATGACCTCAGGATCAATTCAAAGAAATATGAATCCTTGATTTCGTGATTATGTGCAGGCTGACCCTGCTCTTGTAGAATCTGTCTTTGACGAGCGAATTGTGGGCTGCTCTGGAGGAGTTGGTGGTTAGTATCTTTCCTACATTGCTGCTCATTTCATGGAGTTCTTTTTCTTTTTTAGAGTGACCCTAGTGATCAGATAGGAGCTATTTTCTTTGAAGCTTGAAGAAGACATTGCCAGGTTTCGAGATTTTCGAACATATCGAATACCTCACAAGTTACCTCGATGTCTAGCTTTAGGAACTTCAAATTCTCAAGCTGGAAATTTAGCTTTGGTTTTGTTGGGAAGATAATGATCAATTTGCTATGCTTTCCAGAGGATGAGCATGATGTTGTCTGGTTCAAGCTGAAAAAGGGCGAGGATTACGAGTGTCCAGTCTGCACTCAAGTATTTCAGGTAAACGTTTCACCTATAAACAGGAAAGTAGTTACTAATCAATCTTCTACTTTTGAGCTTGGATCAACACTCTTTTGCGTTAGTTGTACGTTGTTTTCTATCTTTCACATCTTTTTATTTTGTACACCAATCGTACTTGTCAACTTACACTTCATAACGGGAACGTTTAATGTTGTGCAGTTGAAAGTTGTGGGAGAAGGTGGAATGCCAGGTGCCCACCATTAATACTTATGTCTGCCAACATTTATCCAGGGGTTGAAGACGCACAGAAGCTGTTCTTTTCAAAAAAATTCTGAGGAATAAGTGTCTTCGAGGGCATGTCATTTTTTTCTTACGTTGAAAGGTTTGGAATGATCATAGCTGGGCTTTATTGCACTGCCGCTGAACCACCATGTCTCTCAGTGTTTTATTGACACCCATCGAGACCGTAAACCCTATAAAGATTCATTGTCCAGAGCTTTCAAAGCAGAAGTTGAAACACCTGTCGAATGGACATGGGTAGTGAGTGAAGGCTTCTCGAGTGGATCAAACGGGGCAAACTCTGAAACCTCGAAGTGGGAATGATCTCATTTACAGTCTTCTGAAGCTCCCGTAATGTGCAGCAGAAGCCTCTTCTTACCCTCAGTTTTGCCATTTTTGTAAAGATGAGACATAATGAAAGATACCAGTGGGAGTTATGAGTTATGGGAGTCAGTGGTAGCCTTCTTGTACACTGTCGGTTTGAGTGTTACGAAACTTGTCGTATTGGAAATGTTGCTGAAAGTTTGCTAGCTTTACGTTTCTCACTCGTTTTCTTCGTTTGAATGCTCGGCCTCACATTCTAGAACGCAAGATCTTGGAGGGTCATCTCTCCTCGATTCTTCCTTTGTTATTGTGGCTAACATTTCTCTAGACCAACATCTGTGTTGTGTCGCTACTTGTACTGATTACTTTGGGTTCAACTTCTAAGTCAACTTACCAGTACATAAATTTTACCGGCGCTGTTATGGTTAGGCCATGGGTAAGAGAACCATATGTTATGGATTGTGCATCTTTTGTCCGTAAGAGTAGGTACGTAACTAACGTTAAATATGATGTAACTTTGTCGGAGTATTAGCGGGTCGGTATAGCTGGAGTCTGTAGCCCACATCTAGAGGCTCACATACTGTGATCATTGAGATATAATCTCATTCTTAAGGTTTTAGTGGTTGAAACACACGAGTCTCTCTTGTAGTTTGGAGGCAGGCATGATCAGAACATGCGAAGAAGGAAAGTCATTGACGAAAGTGAGGTCTGCTGTTTTAAGCATGGTTGGCTTGTCTGGGATAAAGACCTTAGGGAGGTGGGACGTTCTGTGCTGTGCCACCATGTTTTTTTATCTGTGGTGAAGCAATTGTTAACCCAAAAGTCGTCTCTATATTTGCATTATCGGAATGTTTAATCCCGTGAAGGGAGTGGTGTTTTGAGAAATTAGACAGAGACAAGAATAGAACTGTCTTTGAGGAGACGTGAGTACAACACAATGTAACAGATGAATTTTAATTCGAGGTTATGTATACTATGTTAAGTCTCTAGTGTCATGGTCTATTACTGAGGTTCTAAATTCATCTCGTGTGAACTTTTATCGAGCTAAAATGTACGCTTCAATGATTATTCAATATCTGTATTGTATTATTAGTAATTATCAATTCTAGTGTGAGCTTGCGTATTTTCATTCAAGGGTCATTCCTGAACGTTGTATTTTATTTAGTAGAGATTTATTCTTCTCGTATACTAGTCATGATGAGTCTCCCATTTTCGTCTGTCAGGTTAAGTTGGATTTCAAATTATGATGTCAATAGTCAGTCAAGCTGCGGGAATAATGTTCCAGTTTTAGCTCAATGTCGATCATCCCCAATATCCTGAAGTATATTCGTAAATGCAACAAATATTTTCCTATCCTGTCTACACTTTCGGAGACATAATTTACTACATGTCCCTAGGCTTAATTTTTGAACTCAAGTATGCTTCTAAGTGGGTGATTACCCTCTCGTATCACCGTGTAGAGTTTGATATATCATGCTCTAGCGGATTCACCCACACGAAGATTACACCTTGGATGGTACGGTATATATCTAGCAAATGAATACAATCCTTAAGTATGTTTCATGTTTGCTGTGTTACTGCATGACAGAACTCCGTCTTAGTCTCTCGTTACACATCTAGTGTGATCACCGCTTCTTACAGGAAGTACTTTTGCAAACATTAGATTTGCTTGGATTTAACTTTAATAATCGTTCGTGTCCATTGTCGGATATGTAAACAACATTTTACAAGAACCCAAAAGTCTTTGCCAAATGTTGTTTATGTGTACTGTATGATCTGAGTGAATAGATTAACTTACTTGTCTGAGGACTTCATATTCAGTGGAAAACTACCAATTGGGGTGGAGGTGAAGCACATTTACTCACGAAAACAACAACAGATACGAAGCGTCCTTCACGAAGTACAAATGTGAAAAACTATACAATCAATGTGGACCTTGAGTACATAAGCAATAATTTCTTTCAAATAAATCTACTATTTCTTGGTGGTTTATTATTGAAATGTACTATCCGATTTTAAAATCTGTCTTACAAATCACATTTTAATATCAAGTGAGGTATGTTTTTGTTACAGCAATCCATGTTCACGTTTTTTCATAACAAGTAGTGATGCTTAGTACCCATATAAATATTCTTTTGATCAATAATTGAACATTGATTGACTCATGCTACATGAACGATTGAATTGAAAACAATCTAGAGACTATGGTATTCAAAATTACATGTATTAAAAATTACATGTACCACCTCGTTGATTCAAATGAATAAAGGAAAACAAATGGAAGATACAATCATCATAAGTCAATTACTACATTAGGTAAAGTAATCAAAGATAAGAAGGAAGCAAAACACCAAATCGTAAATCTGTTTATGAACGTTTATTTCAATCTCTGTATTACACACCATCTAAAACAAAACTTAGAGATGTCTAATGTAGAAAATATAAAACTCTGCAACATTGAGTAGATGTTCGATATCAAAAGCAAATGTTAATACTCAGCCTCGTCACAACAGTAGATATATCTGAAATATAAATATTTCAGCAAGTTGATTGGTAAAACACATGATAACAGAACTTTATTGGAAATTGATATTGTGAAGTTGAAAGATGTAATCATGTACATCCCACTTGCAAAGAAATTGCATCACATTTTACAGAAAATTCAATTATTTACTTGGTCTGAGAAAAAAAACTTCATTTAACGTATTCAAAAAATTTAAAAAAATAAAATTTATCGCTTCATCAATTCCAATTTTTTGAAATTGATAAAGTAACTATTCATAATATATACTCAATTTTTTTTCTACAAAAATAGAATTAATACAGATCTATAATAAAGCTATCAAATTTTATACTAAATAAGCTTTTATTTAATAAAAAAAATTTAAATTAAATATAAAAAATTGAACATTTAGCTTATTCTAACACATTAAATTAACTATATACATTGGAATTTTTATTCGAATTTTTAAATGAATGAAAATGGGAAAAAAATCTGATTAAGACTAAATATTAAATAACATTACTAGTTTTGAAAATAAAAATATTTCTTAGTACAAATATCAAATTCTAAATCTTAAATGTATTTTGAAACAATTGATTCACTTCAATGGATTATATTTCCAAAAATATTATATTGAGTTCCGTTGCAAATAAATTTTGACGTAAATGTTTTTCTACAATTTGTAGAATTTGCATTCCCATACTTATGATTCAAAACATGATTGTAAATTACTATATACTTACTTCATTCTATTCGCAAACGAACAGAAATACATTAATACTCATGTTTTAGATTTGTTATATGTAAAGTCTTCTCAAAACTTTCAAGATTCAAACACCACAATCATAGCTGGTCATATAAATATATGATTCATTTCACAAAGTTAATGTTCTCATTCATTTAGAAGATTAAGGTATATTTTATCAAAAGATAAGATCAGACATATAGTGACATTCAACCTATATAAACTATAATTACATAGCTAGATAGGTCTATACATAAATATACACCTAACATTAACGATATCAATATATCATAAATAAATATGAATTCATTTGATGAAAAAAATAATTTTAGATACCCATCCTTAGAATATAAAGAATCAATTTTAAAACAAAATAAATAAAAAAACTTCAATCATTGAAATAAAACATACATATATTTAAATATACATAGAATGTTATACTTAAAACTCTAGTTACTTTTATAGGTCTCGATAATAAAAGGAGGTGTGAATAAAAAAATGTGATGAAATAATACCTAATCTTAATGTTATATACTTTTCGGATTATATTATTTTTCATCATTTTGTACATCAAAATTTCGATATCAAGAGAAATTAAAAAATACAGATTTGTTTGGTATGCATCAATCAACTCTATATTTTATTCTATATTGTTTGTGGTTTTTGCTTGTTTTTATGTTTTTCAGCCTTTTGATTCTTTTGGTACCCCGGGCTTGGTCTATTACCATTACCATATATGAATACGAAATATTGCATTCGGGTTTCTTAAGAGATAAGTTAAAATAAAGTTGACAAACCTCATATTATAAACTAACCATAACTACAAATATTGAATATAAAATAATTATTATATTCAAAAAAATGTTTCAAATTCAAATTCATAGATTACATAAAATTTGGAATTTCATTATAACACGTGTCTTAGGCATGAGCTATTTTTTTTCATTCAAACTATTGGAAATTTTTTTATCTTATATTTTCATGTATTTATTGTAAATATTTAAAATTAAAAATAAATATTATAATAAATAACTTTTACATATGCTAAACTCATTTTTAACATTCCGAAATAATATTTTTGAATCACAAAATTGTTGGTAATATTCAATATAATTTTCATAATACTTAACTTGATGGCTTTGAAGACTTGTTCTATTTTTTGTACCATGTTGAAGTATATAATTTTTTATTGGATTATTACTATGTTATGATGTGTTTTGACTACACAACCATAAAATGTTATCTCAAAATCTTGATAATCAATAATGAAATATTAAATATATTATTAGTAGTCTTTTACATAATTATTGATGATTTCCAATGTCTTAAATTGTATAATGTTAACACAAAACTAGCTTTAAAATTTTCTTGACATATATATAAATATTGAATTATCAATTTAGTTGTAACATTTTGATGTAGAAGTGAGATATGCATAAAGATATAATTAAAAGCATGATTTAGTTTGATTTTTAATTTTTTAATAGATTATTGCACTATTTTTTATAAGGTTTTTGTGTAATCTCATTGCATATGTACAACAATGGTTATATACTTGTTATATAATAAAGGTTTCAAATTAAGAAATCTTTATTAGATGATGTTTTATATATTTTGAGCTCATGGAACTCTCATTTTAAATTTTAACAGCAATATCATATGTAGATTTTAATCAGAAATTCAATTAAAATTTAAAATATTTTGATTGTCAAATCATGTTGTAAACTGATTAATGTCAGATTTATACTTATCAACTATAATAATTTGCATATTTCTTTCATTGTGAAAAAATGTTACTCATGAGAGTTATCATTATTCATATTTATATATTTTTTTAAATAGTCATGTATAATGAATTTATTTTTTATTTTATTATTAAGTATAATTTTTTCACCTGAGTGGAAAATAAGCACCAGTCATACATATGGCATAGAATTAAACTAAAATATTCAACATAAGGAGATGATTATCAAAATGTTTGAAGTAGCTACATATAATATCTTCAAATACAATGAACATAATGAATACTTGCTATTAGTGAAAGAAGTCAAAAGAAGTCAAGAAGAAGTCAAAAGCAAATTAATTGTAAAATTTGTTTCAAATTTTAAAATTAATTTGCAGATTGATGAAATCATTAATCTGGATCTAAAAAAAATCTTGGATTAAGTAACTCAAAGTTTGATGAGTTCATAGAAGCATAAATTCTTGTTTGAAATATATAAAATTCATATATATACATAACAAAGTTAAATAATGAGATTTTTATCTCATTATTTTAATAATCTACGTGAATGATATGTTGATCTTGTCAAACAAGCAATCTACATCAAAAAATGAAAAAATGAACTCAAATATGCATTCAAGATTAAAATTTGATAAACCCAAGTGTATATTTGTGATTGAAACTCATAATAAATAAATAAACAAAGATTATGATCTAATCAATTCAATTATATTC